TTTACATCATGCATAGTCTGGACATTTTTCTTCTGTCTTCCAGTGACACCAAATCTAGGTTAGTGGAATAAGCTTTATGTGGAATACAAAAATACTGGGCGCAAAATGTTTTGAAAACACGAATTGCTACCTTCAAGCACAGTCAACTGTAGTGTTTGCGCCAGAAATACATGGGCTTGGTCATTATTATTTACTGAGTTGCTCTAAAATGGAAACGGGCAAGCTTTTAAATTATACATAATACATTGCAAACGATAACGAAGAAGGAAAGTATGGTCACCTGGACATAACTAGTTTTCAACAGTTTTGTATCGTATTTATTTCGGCGCCATGAAGCTTTGAGGCCCCCATCTTGTTTACGCAATTTTTTGGCGGGAAAAATAACTAATTATGTACACGGCCACATTCCAACTGGTTTTTTGAACCACGTGGAGATAAAGACAAAAGGTTTGGTCGATATAAAATTTCTTTCAACAAATATAACCTCAAAACACTAAACAACTGACTAAAAAGACATGTATATACATTCTATATAATTTTATATACTCTCCAAGCGCACCACACTTTGAAAATGTTGTTGAAAACGCGTAACTTGGTAGACTTTTTCTAAGCCTGTCTAAAGTTGGGAACGGTCGCCCCCTAATACAGAAATAGATAATTTATTACGGAATATAAATTGACATGTTCGTACTAGTTGCTAAGGAATAATGTCAGCCAAACAATGTACTGGTTTACCTGCAACAATGAGCGAAGTCGTCTCTATACCACGCTACTCTTCCCAACTGTCTCGCCATTTTTCTCTTCTCAAAATTCGCTAGGTCAAGAAACCCGCACTTTCTCTTTAAAACATCACCAGAACGGTACAAATCCTCGGCGAACACTCCCAGACATTCTGCTGCACACTTACTAAGACATTCTACCGACGAAAACGTCTAAAAAGTACCCAGTTTAAAGCTATCAAATGAAAATGCCCCTACTGTACTTAGTGACAGCGAATTCCATTCTGCGATAGTTTTAGGAAAGAATGAATTCTTGAACATCTCGATCCTTGGTTGATAACTCTGGTACTTGAAGGCATGGCTATTTCTTGTTCTCTTCTGGGCTGGTATTAGGTACTTAGTAATTAGGACGTCCACCAGTTTATCAGTCATTTTGTACATCATGCATAGTCTGGACATTTTTCCTCTATCTTTCAGTGACACCCACTGTACTTTAGTGGAATATGCTGTATGTGGAATACGAAAACACTCGGCGCAAAATGTGTTTAAAACAGGATTTGCTACCTTCAAGCATACTCAACTGTAGTGTTTGCGCCAGAAATATGTTGGCTTGGTCATTACTATTTACTGAATTGCTCTAAAATGGAAACGGTCAAGCTTTTAAATTATACACAATACATTGCAAATGATAATGAAGAACGAAAGTATGGTCACCTCGACATAACTAGTTTTCAACCATCTTGTATCGTATTCTTTTCGGCGCCCTGAAGCTTTGAGGCCCCCATCTTGTTTACGCAAATTTTTGGCGGGAAAAATAACTAATTATGTACACGGCCACATTCCAAAATGTGTTTTGAACCACGTGGAGATAAAGAAAAAGGTTTGGTCGATACACAATTTCTTTCAACAAATATAACCTCTAAATGCTGAACAACTGACTAAAACGACATGCACATACATTTCATATATACTCTCTAAGCGCACCACACATTGAAAATGTTGTAAACGTGGCAACTTGACTTTTTCTAAGCCTGTCTAAAATTAGGAACGGCCGCTCCCCAATACAGAAATAGATAATTTCTTACGGAATATAACTTGACATGTTCGTACTAGTTGCTTAGGAATAATATCAGCCAAACAATGTACTGGTTTACCTGCAAGAATGAGCGAAGTTGTCTCTATACCACGCCACTATTTCCGACTGTCTCGCCATTTTTGTCTTCTCCAAAATTCGCCAGGTCAGGAAATCCGTACTTTCTCTTCAAAACATCACCAGAACGGTACAAATCCTCGGCGAACACTCCCAGACATTCTGCTTCACACTTTATAAGACATTCTTACCGACGAAAACGTCTAAAAATTACCCAGCAAGTTTGAAAAAAAAATCAGCCTAAAGTATTCCTGTCGTGCGAAAGCGCCATTTTGAACTGACCATACCAAACTTGTTTTTACACAGGTGTGCAGAACGGCCGTGTATAATTAATGTGAAGCTGGTAGTCTAATTATGACGACCAATGAATGCCCGTTTCGGTGTCAGGCACTTATATGTGTCGAAGAAGGACGATTATATTATATTATATATAATTAAGAGTTAATGATCCGCCCCGATGTGAATATAGTGTGATAAAGCCTTATCAGTTGCTATAACCACCGAATGAAGCCACCGAGTGAGCGCCGTGAGGTGGTTATAGCAACTGACAAGGCTTTATCAAATCATAATCACCGAGAAAAGGGGCGGGCCATTAACGCTATTATCATATAGCCTATCAAAACTTAACACCGTAAGAGTGACACATTTCTGTATAATACATGCAAACTTAAATAAAATAACCTCCTTGTTCTGACGCGCGTCATTGTTGTCATTAACCTAAAAACAGAAAATACAATTCTATCCCTCAGCACCAGAAATATACACGACAGAAAGCCAAATTTTTTTCCTGCAACATTTGTTTATGTTAACTTATAAAATTGCAAAATACACAGTTCATTCAGGCACATACATTTGAGTTGGTCCCTGTAATTTCTACTTCTTAAGTATCATTGCTTTTGGTCCAACATTTTCATTTCTTTCATTTCCATATCCGTAAGGCAGTTAAGTTACTCATTCCTTGTCCTCCTTTTGAAAAGTATAAAATGTATAAAATGCTTTCTTCTAAGCAAATGAATTGTGAGCTTTGTGATAAAATGTAGCTCTTTGTGCACAACTGTTGCCAAGTGCAAATTTTCAAAGTATGTGATTTGAAAATATGCATCTATTTAAAAGTGTAGTCAGTATTTTGTCTTTTTTTCCTGGTGGCAGTTCTTGTCACATTGGCATGATCATACAAAAGTTACAATCAACTGTTAAAATTCACTGCATAGCAATGTTTGCATACTGGCATAACGGAATACTTATAATGTACAAGTTTTGTATTTCAATGCAATCCCTACATATGCATAGATTAGGCTATATGTGTGTCATGTACAAAAATTAAAACGGGAATGTCTAATTTAGACTTGAAACTTTATACTGTATATAACAATACTTACTGTGCATAGTTCTTGATACATTGTACTTGCCTGCATCTTTGTAAGATGCAGTTTTCAAAATGCAGCAAAATTACATTACTCTCATTACAAATTATGTCACTTTGTTAAATTCAGAATAAGTTATATTCATAAAATGACCATACAATGGCACGATTGTTTTAGTAAATCAATACTTCATATTTGACTATAGCAATATTAAGTGTCTTCAAAATCACTATTATAACATTAACAATTCTGAATAAAGAATTTGATGGTATTTGGTCCCTAAAGATAATGCAATATGAATATTCAATGCAAAAATATAGCACTGAATGGCACAGCAAAACACAGCAAGGTTTAGTAATTTAAAATTGATTGTCATGAAAATAGAATCTCTGAAAGATTATCAAAAATTATCAAGTATAAAACAGGTTATAAAAGAGTATAAAGCTTTGAGGGAATGTTATATTTAGGGTTCTTATAAAATCATTTTTATTTTACATACATTATATATGGCACACTTTGTTGCATTGCTTAAGCAAGCTAAATGTTAGGAAATATTATACTAATTGAGACTACACTATGTGACATGAGCTATGCTCTTTACGTTTAGATATTTTAAAAATAAAAAGGTACAAAATACTTTTGATTCATGGTAATATTTTCTATTAGGTTTTTAGATTGTCTTTATTGCTTTCAATTTAGTGTTAAATATAGCATGTTTTGTAATGTGTGGTTCAAAAGAATCATTATATTGTGTTTCAGAAATTACTTTGGTCCTCACTACAATTTGGATTTGTTATGGCACACTTTTCTTATATATAAAATACTGAAGGAAACTTTAAGAGCACACAAGTGCATTTTTGTCACTCTGTGCTCTTTGCAACTGTATCCCATTGCTTTTTGAAGACAGAGATACGAATGTACTGTACAGAATACAGCACACGTTTTACGTTACACTTTAAACTCAAGTGTAGAAGCCAGAAAACTTTTGCTTAAAGCTTCATAAGCAATACATTTCCTAAGCATGAAAGTCCATCTGTAGTGAGCAAACGTCTGCACAAAAACCCATGAAGTTAGTGCATTATAATTCTTAGTAAAACTGCAGTTATTTTGTAGCACAGTTTTATGCCTCAAATTTTTGTGTTAGTTGCAACACGCCCCTGTAATTTTTGCTAGGCCGCCTTCATTCTTAATACATGTACACAGCATAGTGGTCCAGCCATTGCCTGTGCACATGGTACTCAATCAGAGTTACATGTACAATTGCTAAAAAGATACTGTACAAAGTACAGTGCACACATGCAGTAATTTTACGTTAAAACTAACTCTTTAGTCATCCTTTCCCAGCAAGAATTATGCCCAGCACAAGGCAGAATTAACAGTTAATGTTAACAGCTTTATAGGCAACATTCCACTGTGCTCTTCTATTCAAGCCTTGACAGCTGTAGCCTTGTCTGCCTATACTTATACTGACCGTACATAATACATAATACACAATGTACATTTGTATAGTAACAATACCCATTACTTTCCAAGCAGAGGTTTGGATTTTGGCTTATTTTTGGCATGATGTTTTTAGGCTTTCTTAACAGGCTTTCTTTTTTGCAATGGAATCTTTTCCTACAACAATCTGTTGTCTACCTGTACTTGAAATGTGACCGTACATAATACACAATGTACATTTGTACAGTAGCAATACCCATATAGCCTTTGTCAGTACAGGTTTCATGAATGAATGAATGAACACCCCTTGTTATGAATACGAGTCCCTATTGTTCCCACTACCCCATGTCAGATCCTAGGAGTGTTATTGGAAAATATGGCATTTATAATAGGTAATCTCAAATCATGATAGTGACTTTTAATAATGACTGAAGGCTGATCTTTCTGTACTTGAAGGTTGGCAATACATATCATACAATGTACATTTTAATTTTGCAATGCACATGAAGCTACTAGCCTCTACCAGGCTTCGGGAGGCGACTGGAAAGAGTAGAAATTGGTGCAGCAACATGTTTTCTCCCCGCAGACAAACTCCCCTGACATGTTATCTCTCTATTTGGCCGATTAACTCTTTCCAGCCGCCTCCCGAAGCCTGGTAGAGGCTAGAAGCTACATGTTGTATATCAGTACAGGGAAGAGGTATTTTAAATCATGGTGACGGGAGTTTCGTCGTCCGTCGTGCTCCCGCTCTGTTCTCGTTCCTTCGCCCGCCGCCTCGAAGCGTTCCAGTTTATCGAAGCGTACTCCGTGGGTTCGTCCTCATACCGTGGCTTGGGGGGCGCCGGTTTGCTGGGCTTCTTGGGCGGAGGTTTCACCTGGAAATCGCTGAGCTCGGCGTATATAAGGCCCTGCGGGTTCTTCTGTTTCTCTGGCATCGACTCCTAATGGAGAAACAAACAAGACAACACATTAAAACAGCTTGTTAATGATACGAAACAGCCACTAATGATAAGCATAGGATAGAGGCAAGTGGTAGGCAGCCATCAAGTCTCAGACAGCATTAGAGTGCAAGCACGTCGAACCCTTGGAAAACAGGGAACAACAGATGATAAACTGGATAGTGAGTGAGTGTGAGTGCCTTCTACCTGCCTTTTGAAAACAGATTTTACAGGAAAAAAGCTGTACAGTATTACAAAAGACGTATGTAGATACAGACATTTGCAAAGAATGACGTACATTTGCTGTGCAAACACGAAGGTTTCCAGACTGTATCTTGCAAACAACATTGAGTCAGACTGACTTACAAACCAGTCTAACAATAGATATAGCTATAACTTGAAAAGGCAATGCTGTTTTGTGACTGGGCTCACCTGAGGGTTCTCATATGGATTCTCATCAGTCACAGCTGCAGCACCTGAAACAGGTGGGATAAGTTTTAAACTTGAATCTTTCTAAAGGCTGAGTAGGTATAGGTAAAGATAACCAGACCTGTAATTTGTCCACACATCCCATGTATGTACATAATACTTTAGAATCATTTCTACAGTCTTAAATGCAATCATTGTGAAGAAATCATAAGAATGGAATAAAGACATTGAATTTCTTTTTCATACCTTCTGCTTTGGGCACCTCATCGTAAAGTCTCTCCTCCTCCTTAGCTGTTGGTTTCTTGGCTACGGCAGGTTTCTTTCCAGGTGTTGGTTTCTTCTTGTCTTTCTTCTCCTTCTTGTCTTTCTTATCTTTTACCACTTCTGTGTAGATAACGTCTGGGGCAGGGGCTGCTGGGATAGAGGTAAGACCATCGTATTAAAGTTACTTTGAGTTATTTTTCAACTCAAGGGAGTGAAGTATATTGTATTTTGCTTGTCTGTCTCAGTGATTGTGTGTGTGTCTCACTGGTGTGTGTGTGTGTGTGTGTGTGTGTGTGTGTGTGTTTGCATGCGTGTGTGTTCTTTACAATTCCTATTACATGTGATATCTGTTTCTTTGACTTTTAGCTTCATCAAAATAGCATTGTGGGTTTGGGTTGAAGTCTGCCATCTCTGATTCCATTGATTTCTAGCATAAGGTGGGTGGCGTAACATAATTTAAAAGATTAATCAAAGAACTTCTGCATTAAACATGGCCTTTTACATGGTGCTGTTCACTTCCAAATTGAGAAATTCCTTAGTGGTATGTCAAAACTGCCTATTTGGTTTGTTAGCTATGTTCAACAATGAAAGACAGCTACAGGTGCATGTACAATACAGCCCTGTGCAGCACTGCCTCCTAGTGGCGACCTCGCACACTGCAGTGCGCCACGCCCCACAGTTAATGAATAGCGGCGTCACGCTGAGTTGAGCACTCTGTTTACATGTCCTTGAAAACTCCACCCCCTCCAGTATCGCCCCACAAGCTTTTCACTGATAGGCTCCTGCACAGTCTACCTGTGCTAAGTGCTACGTAGAACATAACACTACCACAAATACTGTTCCAAATGATTCTTTCAGAAAATGAAAGATCACATAACTTGGCCTCCAAGATTCAATTGTAGCATATTATCAGAAACAATACCAGTATATTACACACTACAGTTAAGCATACAGAAAGCTAACATGACCTTAAAAGTCACCCTCAAGCACTTTCCTTAAGCATTATACCAAAAGGACGTTAAAACTGATAAAAAACTGAAAACTCAGACATTTTCTCATTTGTAGAAGCTCCTTGATTATACACTGATAAACCCCTGTACACCTTACCAGCCCTAAATTATGTTGTCTGTACCTTTCGAACTGTTAAACTGTAAGGAACCACGCCCAAAGCACCCATTGTTTAGTGTGCACCTATCAATTACAACCAGTGTGCAGAGGGGCTTGACAAAAATTTACTCTGTTTACATTGCGCAGCTAAAGGTCAGCTTGGGGTCAGGGCCAGGCGGTGGCTGTGCAGAAGAGCCCCCTACATCGGTACTGCAGCTGCACCTGTCTCCTATGCAATATGCACCTGCTAAGTAGTGTAGCCTGAAATTTGGGTATTTTTTACTACTACAGCATTAAACTATGTCCAACTGATTAACTGATGTATATATTACCAGAAAAAAATCAACTTTGTTAATTTTATGTACATGTAGAAAAAAATTGAGGAGTTTTTATGCTGTGTTTTCAAGTTTCAAAGATGACTCAAAGTGTGTTCATAGTCAGAATTGATAAAATAACATACTATTCCTCTTTTCCTTTCACATTATTGTACTCTAGCCAAAAACAGAATTGCATCATGACATCCGCTTCCTTTTTTTCTTGGCTTTCACAGAAAGCAGAAGTGTGCTGTCATGTTTCTAACTTCTTTACACAAAAAGAGGAACTCTTGTGTTAGTTTCCTTGTCACACTTCCTTAACTCATGCTCTCCCACGTAGTTTTAATGTAAAGAAGTCTGCTTAAGTTACATGGTTAAAAAAGCATCCATGTGTTTTTTTAAACAAGTTTGTTTTGTAGGTGGAAACATTAAAGGGTTCAACAGGGCAGAACTTACTTCCTCAATTAGATATTAGTTCCTTGAGAAAGGGGAAATTTTGTTTACCCACATCTGAAGGTTGTGTTTGTAACAGAAGACAGAATTTCCTCATGCCAAAGTTTATCCTGTTATTGTTAGGAAAGTACCTGACTTCATAATGTGCGCTTAGAATGTTAATCAGAAAGGCAAGTAGTATAAAGCATAAATTTTTGATGCCAAGAACACTGTAGGATGTGTTATTTTGAGCTCTGCAACTTTTCTGTCTGGATATTACTGCAAATTCTTTAATTTTCGTGGTAGTTCTATTTTAGGGTAGGAGGAAAAGATTTTCACAGTGTTTTACATATATCATAAATTTGAGGTAGAAACAATCTGTATTACAGCATGCAGTCATAACATTGTAAATGCATATTCAGGGTGTCATAAACTTACAATGGAGACGACATGACAAAAATAAAATCACCACATAAGTTTGAAGAGTTACAGTTTTATATATGTTGTCCCTACAACACAACTGGTACCTGTATCATGTAAACAGATGTTTTCTGTATGAGAGGGTAGCAGCTATGACAGGGATGTTTCTGGCCCCAGGGTGTGAGATATACAGTGTGACAAGACTACACGTTTGGAAGTCCCCAAATAATTTAGGCTCCTGAAAAGGCCAGAATGTGGCTGACAAGTCACATATGGTGTCAAAAAACTTGTCTGCGATTTCATACTTTTTAGGGAAGGGTCACAGTTCTCTTTCTGGACTTAGCTAAGCAGAAAATAATCAGATCTAATTGTTTATAGGGAAGAGGAACTAAGGTGTTAAGTGCAATTTCATGGGGAGAAATGAAATCATTATGTTTGAATGAACACTACTACCATATAAATATGGTTTTAAGTTGATTTTTGATGAGGAACTGGTGATTAGAACACCTAATACCAGATGTAGCAAACTTTTATATCATTAGATCAGAGTGCATAGTGACTTTATTTGTGTATATAAAGGTATTTGTGTTAAAGTTGCATCCAAGCAACAGTCTCTTAAGTTTATAATATGACAAGAAATTCTGTTAATCTATCATCTATTATCTATCTATTATGATCATTTTGTGGACTAAAATTCTTGAAAGATGGATTTTAAAGCAGTCACGCCAAAACAAACTGCCATTATGCTGTACCATCAGACATAATCATAATTTTGTGGCTCTATTTTAAAGTTAAAATTCAAACTTCTGACTGAACAAAATTTTGTTTATTAAATCATTTTGTATCTATCTATGACAATGTTGTGGCCCTAGATGGATTTTAGAAGCAGTGACAGTCACACCAAAACAAACTGTACTTTGCACCACGTTACACTGTACCAGCAGACTTTGTTATTGACACCTTTGTTATTCATACCTGGGTACACCTGTTGGCGTACCTGCACGACCTTAACTCGACCTTTTGAGGAAATGTCAGCAATGACTCATGCCGTCGCTATGTGGCGTGCCGTTGCCATGCCAACCGTGCGTCACTCATATTAACGTCTGTTCGTGCGATCAATAATATTATGGGATGCCCCATTGCATATGCTTGGAGGTGGACCTGTTGACTTTACTTTACTGTTAAAAACAGGTGCAAGTGCTACTTGGATATTTTACCCAGTTTTGTAAAACACCTGAATTTTCTTCCACAGCCAAGAATACATGGACTTCAGAAATTATCAAAAGTACTTGTTGATACCACCCCACCCTTCACCTAATTTTCTTGAGAATGCACCCAATTAAGATCAGCAAATCAATTTTTAACGGCCAGTTCTAATCAATTTCATCAAAGCCCACAGACAAAAACAACCTTGGAAGGGGGCGTATCGCGTTCCACCCTGACAACCAACAGAACCAGACGTCAACAAAAGACCCGAACTACTTTCTCAACTTTGACCTTAGCTCAGGGGCTTCAGTGACACTGAAACTAGCACCACATTCAGAGCATAACAAAAGCTATTATATCTGTCAGTACCAAGCTTTTCAGTTAGAGTATGGGGGTGTAACCCTCTCAACAAATGGAACTATTAGGTTTCAATGTTTTCAGTTTCACAAGGTTTGTTCCCTGTATAACAGAGTGCAAGTACATAAAGAAAGATCTGTGCCTCTCAATAGCATGAATTGAAGAAAAATGTTTTCGCTGGCTACATTGACACTGAGTACCGTCAACATACATATGAAGAAAGTACCAAAATTGTTTCTGAGTACATTACAGCTAAATACTGTTATGTTACATTTTTTCGCATAATATATACATAATGCTTCGGATATGTCAACAAAAAGGTGTATTTTGCTGAAGAAATAATATGCAAGATTTTAGGCATCTTCACCTACGACTTATTATAAATCTTAAGAAATTATTTGACAATATTAATATCCCTTACCTTTCTTGTCCTTTTTCTTGTCCTTCTTAACTTCTGAGTACTGAGCACTTGGATCTTCAGGTGTTGGTGGCATGTCTGTGTACACGAAGAACAATTAAGTCAATTTTAGGCATTTGTGTCCCCTTAAGATCAAGTTGCAATAAACTTCAAGACATGACTGCTTATAAGATCCCTTCCTTACCTTTCTTGCCCTTCTTCTTGTCCTTCTTAACTTCTGAATACTGTGCACTTGGATCTTCAGGGGGTGGAGGCATGTCTGCATATAAAGAAAAAACAAGTCGATATCTTGATGTTGAACGCTGAAATTTCCATCCCTACACTTGTCTAGTATTATAATAATACATACTACTTTACTCCATCATTTATATGGTCCACTTCAACATTGTATTAATAAAAATGGCAGTGAAGTCTAATATGTTTAAAAAGGTGTTCCTTTACTTACCTTTCTTTTTCTTCTTTGATTTATCGACTGTGGCATATTCTGAGCTTGGGTCGACTGCCAAAGTCGGCTTTTCCTTGTCTAGTTAGAGAAAAAAATAGCAGTTTTCAGGATTAATCTTAAGTGACTGTGCACTAATTTTAACAGGGACTTAAATATAAATCTAACTAAGTCCTAAGTCTTACATTTTTTCACTCCTTTTCAACTTTTCTTTTTAAACAGGCTCTAAATCTTTAAGAGAAGAATATTGTATTCTGTAATGATTTTTTTTACCTTTCTTTTTCTTGTCCTTGTCGACTGTAGCGTACAGTGTGCTAGGGTTGGGTGTTTCATTGTCTGTTGGACAGAGGAATAAATAATTATAGATATGTCAAAGTGAATATTCTTTATTTTGCATGACAAAAGCACTCAAATATTACTGCAACTCAAAACTTTATTTCTTCTACATGTACAAGTTGAGATGGTACATGTACTCATACACTATTGAATGTCATTGTCAGACCATCTAGAGATAGTAGTATTGTCTTTCAGACAATAGCCTGTGCTGATATAAGGTAGAATTCCTGCAAAACATGTTAAATATTTCATGGCCTGCCCGTATTTTCAATGCATCTATGTTCAAAATTGAATACCCAAAAGTTGTTGGCATAACAGGTGTCCCAGTAATATAAACATTAAAATGTCTGACATGAATTGTCTGCACAAAAGATGATTTGATCTTGAGTTATCAAAAATGTTATTTTCGTGGCAGAATTCAAAACGTTCATACAAAGAAAATATTTGAATACAAAAGGGCTTTGTAGATCCATTGTACTAGGCAAGCATGATTTTTGCTGTAGACAATTATTGCATGAGAAGAAATACCAAAGATTTTATCTTTCGAAAAGCAATCTGCATCAAAGTCTGAATACAGGCAGGAATGTATTCTTTGTAGCTTTCCCTTCATGAATTTCAAAGGACACAGACAATCAGCATTTTAAAAAATGAATTAAAACATTTTATAACTCATTTCATGTTACACATTGTAAAGCCTTATAAACAAATTCTCTAAAATATATTGAGAGGTACAGGACCATAAAATACTTGTTAGCATCTAAAAAATGCAGTCAACAACCTTCAACAAATTTTATCACTGGCAATCTAACTCCTAAATGTTGCATGGCAGGGCCTTGATCAAATATTTTGACTCAACCCTAAAATATATACATTTTTCTACTTTTTAGAAGAGGAATATAACATAATATAAACTGTTGGTAAATTTTACCACGGGCTATCTAACTCTTAAATGTTGCATGGCAGAGCCTTGATCAAATATTTTGGTTCAACCTTAAAATGCATAATAATATGATGTTTTTTTTTCCTTTTAGAATAGGAATACAAGTAGATTAAATCATCTAGTAATTTTTCTAAGTGCGTATCTTTACCAAATTAGCTCATGCATAATTAACTCATAAGGAAATGGCCTTCGTTATTCCCCCTCCCAACGTTTCCCTGTTTGATAACAATCAGTCCTTATGAACAGTTGAACCGGCACGCCGGTTCAGAGTACACGCAATCCCCCGTATCAGTAAACACTGTCTGGCTATTAGTGGCACCTGAAGCCAACAGGCAAGGCACATTTTGGCTCAGAGCCAGAAAAGGGAGACCGTGGAGAGAGCTCACTGGCTGTGAGCGAAAACGAGGCCGTATGACCGCCGCTCGACCCCCGAAGCTTTGTCAGAGAACTTTGAACATGTCAAGAGAACTTTCGTGAAGCATATTGGAGCAATGCAACAAGTGTTTTGTAGAATAATTTGTGTCAGAAATAAACTAGTACATGGTTGTAAAAGACTAAATTAGTATTCTAAGCCAACACAAACAGTATTTTGAAGAACAGGTTGTGCCAAAACCAAAACAAAAACAGGTGTAGATTACAAATGTACATTGTATTGTATGCACAAAGAATTATGGCTGTTTCTAGCAAATTTTGCTACCCTTAGGCCTCTAAAATTTATACCAACTATGACAGATGACATTCAAGAATCATGATGACAGTTCATACATGTATCTTTGAAATTTCTCTTAACTTAGTATCTCTACAAGTAACGTTATTGTTTACAGCTACATCCCTCAAATATTTGCTCTCTTGTCTTTCAAGGAGGAATGCCTTTTATTTCTTATGGATCATGATTTACAATATGGTACACACCTGTTGTACATTAACACCAGGCAAACACTTCAGCAAATGTTGCTTTAGAGAAAATTTGACGAGGTATTGACCAGGGTAAAAAGAGAACTAGAAGATATGAACTTCTTGAATTTTAAATTTGGCATAAAAAACAGAAACACAACTGTTTATATCTCTTAGATCTCTTCCTACCCTGGTCATGCACAGTATGAGCTGTTTGTCATCCTGTCTTACATTTCTTGTGGTTATTTATTATTACACATTATCATGTGTGAATCATAGTTTTTATCATCTGTAGCTTGTGTGGAAATGTTTTGGGGTAAACCACTCAAGTGTGGTATAACTGGTGACCTTACTGGGTATTATTATTATTTATAGGTCACTACTTCTGAACAACAGAATAGCCGAGAGCAATGTAACTTTTTAAGTTTGAAACATTTTTGATACACAAATAATTTAATGGTCATCTTTATGTATTGTTGGAGTGAACATATTTCAAGTCAACATATTATTAAGTTTGAAACTCTAAACATTTTTGATGATACACAAACAATATGGTATCATTAAGTATTGTTGGATTGAACATATTTTAGAAATTAAAAGAAGATCGTATAGCTCAATTTTTCCTTATTTCTGACAGCTGTGCAGCATGTTGTTTACCATATGTTTTGTGGGAAAGTTTTGAGTGTGGTACGTCTGGTGACCTTAGTGGTTCAAGGTCAGTTGTTCAGAACAATATGGTGGCCTGAAGGTATGTAAGTCACCAGGACATCAGACTAACACAAACCTACAATGTAAATTACAAAGTGTGTACATGGATATAAATATTGTGGCACAGACATGCTTCTCCAACAAGACCACCTGTTGGATTTCTTGTGGTTGTTTATGCATTGCATACAGAAAATTATTTTTCAACCACTTGCAAAGTTGTGTGATAAATTTTTACTTGCAGGAAAAAAAACTAAGTATGTAAAGTCTCTCAACAAGACAAATTCTTAAACAAGACCAGCTGTATGATTTCTTGTGCTTGTTTATGAATTGCATACAGCATATTAATTTCCAAACACTTGTGAAGTTGTGTGAGAAAGTTTTACGTTCAGAAAAAAAAGTTGTGTGATATTCCTGTCTCTCAACAAGACAAATTTTCCTTAGAAGTATGACCTGTGGTCCAAATACTCCAAAGACTCCTCCTCCAAGCTTACAACATGTATCTCTCTTTCTAGATCATGGCTCAACATCAGACAATCTGTACAATAGTACAGCTTCCTAATTGCATCTAATATGATACTAATACATTTGGGATTTCTATTCAGACAGATAAAAACACATCCCAGACACTCTCTCATGCTCTCAGGCCATTAGGCTGTCTAAACTTATTACTGGCCTCCTGAATGATTCAATGTTCCCTGAATTTGTGTGCCTGCTAAGCAGATTTTCTAGGAAAAGCTGATTCAACGGAAAGCTTCCTTGTTGAGTTTGTCTGGGGTTGAGACATAGGATTTGTTGAGATAAAAAAGGACTAATAAATCAGACAGACACTTGCACGAAAACATGGCTCATCAGAGTGGTTCGTAAGCAGAAAACTTGAGCTTATGCAGAGAGCACTTCCAAACATTGTTATAATTCTCAAAGGGAACTATTACTACAGAAATTTACAGGAGACAGGCTGACTAAAAGTTCTAAACGGGAACTATGTGGTTCCAGATGTCTTACTGAGGGACAACTCACACTCACTGCACGGCTTAACGTCCGTTGTTCATAAATCGCGGACAACTGCGTGTGAGAGATGTTGGTTAGCTTGAGGAATGAATCCCCTCTACTATATACTACAGAAATGTACATGTACAGATGAAATAAAAGAGTCATATAAATGCCGAAAAAGCAGAATATAAATTTCAATGGATGTAATAAAACATTCAAGTACTGTTAGTTTAAGCCCAGATAAGTACAATTTAGCATTCACAACCCTAAGCCATGGTATTAGCATCTCCTACTTATCACATATTTTCTCTCACTGCTTTAGGGGTGGCTGCTTATGAAAAGAGGAAAAACAAGTTAGGAAATGAAAAATAAAAATTTCTTGAACATGTTTTTCAGGATTCTTCATCAACCAAGCTTTGGGGTCAGATAAAGTATAAGGCACCAATTTTATTAGATGATCAAAAACACAAGTCATCAAGTCTTCAAGTTGACAAAATAGGAATTTAATTTGTTGAAGAACTTTTCAAGACTCTTCATCAACCAAGCTTTGGGTTCATATAAAGTTTAAGGCCACCACACCTATTTCTTAGAAAAGCTAGTCAGGTGAGAGCTAGAGTGTACAATGTATTTGCACAAGATAACAAGTAACTGCCTTCCTGAGGTGGTTTGCATGACCCTTCAGTACATAATATATTACCCATTAAGTAGAGATCTTATGGCCTCTACAAACTCAAGAGTAGACAGCTATATGATACATTTTCAAGTTGTAAT